GAATAAAGTCACCGACCGACCCACACTGGACGTAGGGCATGTTGCCTGAACCAGTATAAATCCTGTGTCATTGAGTGCTAGGCCACCTCCGATCACAACGTACAGCAAAACTATAAATATTTACTAGTTGGTCACTTTCTGTACCGACAGTTTGTCTTGATACGACTTCATTTACTGTGCTCCACCTACTTTCAGAAATAGGCCAATTGTCAGCCGCCTCTAGTAATATATTTCCGAGACGACTGGAATTCCAGCCGTGATAGAGCTCGATTTATAGAGACATACTAGCTCAGAAACTATTTTTAGAGGAAGATTTTAATAGAGCCGCCTATACCCTAAAATGGAGGCATCTCTAAAAATGATTTTTGTAGTTGTGTATATAAGTGTGAGCATGTGCTGGTATTTTTGTGTTTCAGTGTGTGTATAGAAAAAACAAGTCGAAGAGAAGAATTGAGGATTCTATTTTTCTACATACTTTCTTGGTCCAGAGAAATTCTGGCATCTGTAAAAGATTGCAATTCTGGCATAATACCAAGTTAATGTATTAATATTTATATGATACAAATCAGTATCTTTAGATTTATCGTGAGATATATTTCATAGTATACTTATTGATGTTATAAACTTATTATACCTATATATTTGGTTAAACTTTATGCACTTTTATCTAATAATGCACACCTAGAACTACATTCTTATTTTTACGGAGGTAGTACATATCAAAGTGGTGTTTTTTTCCATTGAAAGTCTACCCATCTGAAGTCAATCAGCCTTTCGCTTAGTCGTATTCGGCTTATAAGCCATGGCTTATCAGCCAACGAATAATATTTTTCTCTCATACCAAATCAGCCAACAGTACTTTTAGACATGGCTTATAAGCCAAACCAGCCCAAACGTAATTGTGATTCCGCCAAATTCCTAGTTAATAGAAGTCCTTTGCATTTGAAGGAAAAATAAATTAAGTAGAGTGTTGACCAAACTAATGTTAGAACATTGATTAGTTTATGTTTTACTTCCATTCTTGACTAGAATGAGGGTGGTGAGACAGAGTTGACCTTCATCATGTATATACTCCTATGTAAGTTGGATTCGACTAATCTACCGCAAATCTTTGTTGCCTAGCTTGTCCTATACGAACTACTTTCCTCCCTGCCCGAAGGCATGCGTATCTGTCTCGTGCTAGCCCGTACACACAAATCAGTAGTATAGGACGTGGTAAGTATAAAAATGATAAATTGGCCGTGCACTTTTTAATTCTGAAAGAAATTACATATGCCCACCCCTCTTTCAAGATTGGCTACCGGATATTGAGATGGTTGAAGTCACCGCAAGCGAAATGCACTATACATCGCTTAACATTGGAAGAATACCATAATTTCTTCATAGCGGGAGAAAATCAACGTGTACCGATCGAATAGGATTTGAATGTGTAAACAACTGAGCTGTATGTCCACAAAACCACACACATCAATGAAACAGGACTAGGACACAAAACATAGTCAATTGATCGTGGTCAAGTTTGTTTAGGTTGTTAGTGCGAATTAAGCATATATATATATATATATATATATATATATCCGTGTTCGAGTGACCTTTCAGCTAAATATACTTTCTTGTTTCAACTGTAGGTGACGTGTACGTACTTGTAGCTGGAATAGTAACTTCGTTAATTAATCTTGCTGGCCAAATCTATCCATCGCTACGCCAGATTCTTACAGCAGGAACGGGGACATTTTTACTATAGGGGCGGCTGGGGTTGGGGGCGCCCCTACAGTGGGCGTCCTCGGGCCCCAGCAGCCCAGCCGCCCCTACAGATGTCACTGTAGGGGCGGCTGGTAACCTGAGCCGCCCCTACAGTTAGGGCTGATCTGTAGGGGCGGCTCAATCACCAGCCGCCCCTGCAGCAGATGTCACTGTAGGGGCGGCTCAGGTTACCAGCCGCCCCTACAGTTAGAGCTGATCTGTAGGGGCGGCTCAATCACCAGCCGTCCCTACAGTTCCAACTGTAGGAGCGGCTGAATCACCAGCCGCCCCTACTGATGGGGCACGAATACATAGCAGCCACCCCTTCTTCCACCTCGGGACACACTCTTCTACACAAAAAAAAGGTTGAGAGGCCTTGGGCTCCTCCTAAAAATTGCTCTACTAAGGGGGAAGGTTTTGATCTTAAATCCTTTAATGGAGAGGCTCTAAAAGGTAAGGAAATGCTTCTCCAACTCTTTATTTAAGTTTAATTCGTTGGTTAGTGAGTAATTTGATTTTAGGTTTTCTCTCTCTTCCATGGAGCTTGAGCTAGTTATGAGTGAAATTAGACCCTAATTTTCACTATACTAGGGTAAATTAGGTAGGAAAGTAAGACTGCACCCTTTATTAGTACATCTTTGTTGATTTTAGTGTAGTATTAGTGAAGTTTGGTGCATGTGTCATGAAACCCTATATCTAGATCTAGGATTTTGTTTTTTTTTCTTTTTCAATTTTTCCTTTATGTGACTAGGGTTTGCATGTAGGTGAATGTGTAAGATTTTAATTGTTGCTAATGTGTAAAATATCCTCTACCATGGCTACTAATTATCATTTAATATTTATTTTGATTCCTTTCTATAATGTGTGTTTTATGTGACTTGGATGTATGGTTCGTTAAGACACGACGCTCTTTTCCATGATGAGGTGGACAAATTCATCAAAGCCGCAGAGAAGCATGCAGCGACGTTGAAAGAGAATAGCGACACGATTATTTGTCCCTGCAAAGATTGCAAGAACCTTATTGCATTTCGAGATGTGAGTACCATCAAAGAACATCTGATTAGAAGAGGATTTGTTCTGGACTATATAGTGTGGATTTATCATGGTGAAACAGTGGTTGTTAATGACAGCGACGATGATCTAGCTGATGAAGCTGAAACCCAAGCATACTTGTCCCGATTCACAGACGATCTTGAGCAACAAATAGATCGTGACTATGGTAATCAACAAGGTGGTGGCTTTGGCAATCAACAAGGTGGTGGCTTTGGCAATGAACAAGGTGGTGATGATGCTAGTGGTGCCAGCAATGATGGCGAAGCACGTGAGGGGGATGTAGATGACGGTGACAACTTAGACGAAATGCTTGGGGCCTTTGGACCAGAAATATTAGAAAAGAGCAAGAGAGGTCTAGAAAATCTTGAGAGGGTGACAAAAGTATCGAAGAAGACTGTGTATGATGCTGAGAAGGGTTGTCCGACATACTTCGCACTGGTACGTTTTGTGCTTGAGCTACTCATCCGGGAAACAACATATCATCGGAGTTGATGGCGTGGACGATGTTGAAGCTTACAATAAGTGCAATGAGATGCCGCTATTCACAGACTTTTATAAGAAGATCGAGGCTGTGAAAAAGAACCTGCCCAAAGATGTATTGCCATGGAAACGAAAAGGTGTCAAGTGGAAAGTTATCACGGTGGGCTAGCTAGTTTATGTAAGTGTGTCAGTGTTTATAAGACTACATTCATGTATGTGTATGTGAGACTACATTCATGTATGTAAGACTACATTTCAGCTGAAAAATGCAACTTCAGACAAGATTTTGGTTCCCCAAATGATTTCAGCTGAAAAAGTGATAAATACCAAAGTTGAATAACTCATCAAGATCTACAACTTTTGTATTGGTCATTTCTTCATATGACAAAGTGGTAACGACATTATTCACAAATGTGACATATCTCCCATAAGGTTTTATAAACTATATGAGACATGTGTAAGATTAGTGAATAATGTGCGCAAACCATTACACCACTCTATGAGTCCATAATCCATCTAGATTAAGCCGAAAGACTAAAGAGTAAAGCAACAAATAAGATAAAGATACAGATACATCATACATCAAACATCATACAAGCACCAATCTTCGCGGCATGAGTAGAAATAGCCAAGCTCATGGCTTCATGGGTCTCATGGAGTCATGGTCATGGATTCAAGATCTACAATCCTTATATAGGCCATTTTTTCATTTGAGAAAGTTTGAACAAAATATAGTTTAAATTTCACAAGTGTGTGACATAGTTTCAGAAAGTCTATATGAGATTCAAGAATTTGTGACTAGTGTTTGATAAAACTTTCTCAAATGGGAAAATGAGCTATGTAACAATTGTAGATCTTGCTGAGATGATCAAACTTGGTATTCAGAGTTTTTTCATCTGAGGTCATTTAGTGTCTCATTTGAGCAAGTTTGACCAAGTCAAATTTGGTCAAATGAAAAAACAACACTTTGACTCTAGTATTATGAACTCTAAATGACTTCAAATTGAAAAGTTTTGAATACCAAGTTTGTTCAACTCATCAAGATCTATAATTGTTGTTTTGGTCAACTTTCCATTTGAGATAGTTTGGATGGTTCAAATTTGTGATTTTTAAATTTCGATGCTTACAAACTAGTTTTCGGAACCCTAGATTGTCTCAAATTGAAAACTTTTGAATACCAAGTTTGTTCAGCTCATCAAGATCTACAATCCTTATATAGACTATTTTTTCATTTGAGAAACAGTACCTCCACCACTACCGTACGATCCGCATCCTACCGTCTCCAAGATCGTCCACGCGTCCAGCACTTCCGGAATCACTGGCTCCCTCTTCCTCTCCGCTCTCTCAGGCCCGGCTGCCTCGCCCATCGCCCTCTTCCTCCCCCCGACATCCGCCCCTCCCTCTCACTTTCCCTCTCCTCCCTGGCGCCGCCCTCCTCTCTCCCTCCCTCACACAAGGCGCCTCCTCTCCCCCACACAGTGGCGGCGGCTCAAGCCCGCAGCGCCCCGCCTCCACCTCTTCCCCACAAATGGCATGCAGAGCGCGGTGCTCCTCACCCACAGTGGCCTCCGCCCAAAACCCAATCCATACTCAGAGCTAGGCAGTCCAACCAAACCCTAGGCCACCGCGCCACGCCTCGTGCGCGTGGCATCCATGGGTGACAGCGTCAGGTGGGGGAGCCCGGATCCGGAGCTAGGGTTCCGCCGTCCCTCGGCGGCACCGCCATGGAGTGGGACAGCGAGAGTCCGACGGCGGCAGCGCCGGCGGCGCCCGGCGAGGAGGAGGAGGAGGAGCGGGAGGCGAGGTGGAGGTTTCGACGGCAGGGGGCTGGTGGGATGTTCACGTTCAGCGATTGAAGGCATCTTTGCTGCGGCAGCGTCCGGGCCAGGCGGGCTCAGAGTCACCGACGCGCCGCCGAGCCGATCGCCCCATCATTCACGTCAACCGCGGCCGAGGAAGCCCCACGGGCTACCGCACGAGGAGGTCCTCGGCAGGAACTGGTCGGTGCTACCTTATCCCATATCCTTTCATTTCAATTCGTCACGCAACTAGTTTCATTTTGGTTGCAAGGATTGCTCTGTGCCACTTAGAATCACACAGAACCTACTGTTAGTTTTTTTGTTAGCTATATATACGTTGTATAAGCATCTGCGGTCATGATTTTGTTTCTTAGAAACGAGCTTAGGCTGGTAGGTCCTCATTTTTGCTGTTAGACTAGTCTCCCCTTTCAACTGGTCACACACCAGTTTCATTTGGTTGGAAGGATTAATCTGTGCCACTTAGAATCGAGCAAAACTTACTGTTACTGTTAGGTCTTTACTTAGCTATACGTTGTAAGCATCGATTGTTGTCATGAATTTGAGTAAGAGAGCTTAGACTGGGAGGTGCTCATTTTAGCTATTAGAATACGCTTCCTTTCTGTGAAATAGCAAGTGCCATCTTCTTGCTATTGTTAGGTGCAAGGGTTGGCCTCCTCTTGCTATTGTTAGATGCAAGGAAGCAAAACGTAGTATTACTTTTTGTTTGTTTTGTCATGGTTTCTGTGTTGGTGATTGAGTATTAGAAATGCGGTTACAATAGTAGGTATGTAGCAGGACTGGTCGGTGCTACCTTATCTCATGTGCTTTCCTCGATTTGTTTCACAACAATTTGGTTTGGCTTCAAAGATGGGTCTGTGGCACTTAGAGCAGAGCTTACTGTTATTTCTTTTGTTACCTACGTTACAAGCATCCTTTAGTATTAGAGGTGAGCTTAGAGTGAAGGTGCTCAGTTTAGGTGTTGGAATACTCTTCCTTTCAGCAAAATAGCAAGTGACATCCTGTTGCTACTTCTAGGTGCAAGGATTGCTGCCACATAGAATCGAGCTAATATGTAGTATTGCTTATCTGTTTGTTGTCATGGGTTTCTGTTTTCATAATTTTAAATATTATTAGATGTTATTCGGCTTTGCTATTAGAACACACACATAGAGTGAACTGGAAATAGTGGTATCATTTTGGTACTTCGGGATTCCTCTCTACTGCTTGTGTTCATTAGCTACTAGAAAAACCTTTCCTGCTAGCGCTGATTGTCTATTAGAAGCGAGCTTAGACTGGAAGGTTCTTAATTTAGCTGTTATAATGCTCTTCCTTTCAGCAAAATAGTAAGTGTCTTTCATTTGCTATGATTGGGTGGAGTGATATCCATTTCAGCAAAAACATAGTAGTGCTGCTTTTTTTTTCCTGTTTCGTCATGGGTTCCTGTTTTGGTGATTTTGAGTATTAGAAATGAGGTTAGAATGGTAGTTGTTTGGTTTTTATGTTACATTAGCTGCTAGAAAAGCCTTTCCCGCTAGCGCTGTTTGTGTATTAGAAGTGAGTAGACTGGAGGGTTCTTTATTTAGCTGTTATAGGGGACATATATAGGGGACATCTCTTTGCTTGCAACTGCATGTATGTTTTCTTGGTCTTGCATTCAGATTATTAGATGGTGCATGTCATGTCTAGGAAAGGGTACAATGCATGCATATCATCGTGGATTCGTGGGCTTACAGTTGTTATGCTACACTTTAATTTGGTAGTTATTGTGGGGATTTCAGATAAGCCCGCCCCCCATTGTGGCGAATACTAGATTGAATCCATGAGCTTAAGAAATATTAGAGCTCTTTTTCCTTATATGGTTGGGGCTGTTCCAAATTAAACATTTAGTGGTCATGATCGCTATACTTCTCTATATCTTACACTGTTACACTGATGCAACAATATTCAGAAAACTTGTTTCCTACAACCAGAACCAGCTTAAATGTTGTTGTCTTTTCAAAATTTACCTGTACTAAATTTAACTATGATGAGAATGATTCATCTACTAAAGCATTGCAGCTAAAATAATTATTATTTTTCTTATGTGCAGTATAAAACAGAAGAACCTGTTAAGCTATGGGTAAACAAGGTTGGGCCTTACAATAATCCTCAAGAAACTTACAACTATTACAGTCTCCCATTTTGTCAACCATCTGAAAACCCTGCACATAAATGGGGTGGTCTCGGAGAGGTCCTTGGTGGAAATGAGCTGATTGATAGTCAGATCGATATAAAGTTCATAAGTATGCTTGCCTTCTCTTGACATCCTCCTGAAGTTTGTTTATTTCTTGGACCATGCATTGTTGCATGTTCGTTCCTGTGACTGAATTGATTTATTTCATTGGCTTTTCATTCGAATGTTCCTTTTGTTTTAGAGAATGTGGACAAGGGGGCCATTTGCACAATTGAACTTGATGCTCAAAAGGTTCAGCAATTTGCTAATGCCATTGAAAACTCATATTGGTTTGAGCTTTTCATAGGTATGGAAAATCCTCATTTAGTTTTATTCTGATCCACATTTTTTGGATGCTTTATCTTGTTTCTGACATTCTTTGTGTCCACATTTTGCTCCAATGCTTACCGTGGTTCAATAACCGAGATGATCTGCCATTGTGGGGTAGGTGGTTTTATACCTGTTCATTTCTATTGCACAAATTCTTTCTATTTTCTTTTAAAATAATGGAGCCAGTTTCCCTGTGAGCAGGTTTTGTTGGGGAGACTGACAAAAACAATGAGAACAAGCACTACCTTTACACTCATAAGAACATTGTTATTAAATACAATGGTAACAGGGTATGTGTTGTATTAAAATTCTTTGATCTCACTTTGCACTTGCTATTTTTTCCATTGACCGGTACTGTCCATTGTGTACTGCCTACTATCCGCTTGTGTAGCTACAATTGATCATATCTAATTTGCTTTTATATGGATCAGTGATGGGGCTGCTGCATTAGTTTTGGTGAGTGGGCAGAAGGTTCAAGAGCTTGGCCTGCAAGTCCTTGCAAGGATCAGAGGATATGCAGATGCAGCTCAAGTAAGCTACAGTAACAGTTATCATAGCGTTTGCCGGGAGGGTAAAAGATGTTTACTAGTATATTGCTAGTGTTCTGTTAGTGAATTTTCAGTGTGTAAATAGGAACTTAGGTAACCCTGCAAATCCAAGCTTTGACATTGATACTTGACTCACAGATTATGAAAACTGTATCCATAAGTTCATATTTGAAAAGAATCCATAAGTTCATATGCAGTCTATGTTATAATGATGGACTTCATAATGGACTATGTTGTAATGATGGACTTTTGTGAATTATGACTTGTGATGATGTTCTAAATAATGGTCTTGTGTTTGTGGATGTATATATGTATATTTGTGGCGGTCAGATTCGAATTTGAATTATATATATATATATATGGTCAGATTTGAATTTGAATTATTTATTTTTTTTGCTGGAAAATCCACTGTAGGGGCGGTTCTTGATTGAACCGCCCTTACAAATACACACAGCAGGGGCGGCTGGTGATACAGCCGCTCTTACAGAAGTCCACTATAGGGGCGGCTAATATTACCAGCCACCCCTACAGAGGGCACTGTAGGGGCGGCTGAAAACACCAGCCGCCCCTACAGAGGGCACTGTAGGGGCGGCTTAAAACACCAGCCGCCCCTACAGAGGGTACTGCAGGGGCGGTCAGGAAACCGCCCCTACAGAGGCACCCTCTGTAGGAACACCCTGGGAGGGGCGGCTGGCGCAGCCGCCCCTACAGTGGCTCTAGAGCCGCCCCTACAGTTAATTTCTGTAGTAGTGCATCTTAAGCCTTATTTGGATGTATGTGTATCAATCTCAATCTACATGTATTGTAGTGGAATTGAATGGAATTTAGTTTAATTCCACTACGATCCACTTCAACACATATGGACTGAAATAAATATATGCGCATCAAACACGGCCTTGAAGTGTTCATTTGAGTGACATCCACTCGTAATGCCAGTAAACAACATGTCGAGATGTCTGGAGTCGAGCGCGTTCGCTAGTCAAACTAGCTAACCCAACTTGGTGACATGCTTACGTACGCATCTAAAAGAAACTTTGTGATACACTCGCGTACATGCACCGGCCGCCTAACCAGTTGAAGCCGGTTGGGCGTCGGCACGGTCCGGTGTAGCGAGACCTACACGCACGCTTCCTACTTGCGTTGATTGATCTTGTAGAGAGAGAGAGAGAGTAGAAGCTGGGCCGGTAGACTAAACATGGACCGGATCACCTCTTCTTATTGGGCCTACCGCGTGTGGGTGGGGACAACCGATCCAACGATCGATCAGCACCTTAATTGGGGCCAACCGATGGAAATGATTCTGCCCAACGCAGAAACAACGTGAATTTCAACCGCATGATAGAGGGTCGGAGGATCCATGTTGCCAAACAACAGAAGCAGCACGCATCTTCCCTCGGAGATCCATTTTGGCAGCAACGACGGCCGCCAGCAACTCGACGATATTCGATGTGCGTTTCTGGCAAACCAATTTTTTAGAAAATGGTAAAGTTCTGGCCTCTGCCGTCGCATATATCGAGGTCTTACAAGTTTTTAGCTCAATTACTGAACAAGAATAAAAGAGAGATGGCAATAATAAACGGAAGGGAAAAAATCATAAGCAAATTCTATTAATGCTTCTCGAGCCTCTGAATGTAGTCGATATATGTTCGGAGCGACAACCTCAAATGCTCTGCTGGCCAAGCTGATAATCTCCCTTGTATCCTTATGCTGCAACAACGCACAATATGTTCCTCTGAATGTAGTCGATATATGAGTGACACGGACGGCTCAGATTCATCGAGAGGAAGCAGGGATGGCTGGTGATAAGAGTCACAATAATTGTATTGAGCGGTCAATTGTCTCGGTAATTTGATTGACGGTGGTCGGTGGATAAAAACACTACAGTGTACATGCTCAAACAAGTCTATAATTCATTATAACTAACAATGACTTGATGAATATATATTGTAATCAATGGAACTAATACATATATATTTCTTGATGAACTTGATAAACAATATATAGATTCGAACTAATTAAACTAAACTAAACTAAATCTAATCTAGATCCTCGCTATCCGAGCTAGGATCATCTATCCCTCCTTCACCGCTTTGTTGGAGATGGCCTCCCCACTAGTAGAGAAACGACTTTTGATCCACTTCGAAATTTGGCTTTAGTCCTGATATTTTTCGCGCCTGGGACTAGAGAAACCTTTAGTCCTGGTTGGTAGATCCAACCGGGACTAAAGGTCCCTGCCCAACGGCTACTGCGGCAGGCTTTTGCTGCAGGGGACCTTTAGTCTCGATTGGAGCTACCAACCGGGATTAAAGATTAACTTTTACTCCCGGTTGGTCCCTCCAACCGGGAGTAAAAGTCTACTCCCGGCTAGAGGCTCTGTCCGGGATTAGAAAGGGACATTTAGTCCCGGTTGCTGTCTCCAACCAGGACTAAAGTCCCCTCCTATATACCCCTTCTTCCTTCCCGACCCCGAGCCACTTCGAGCTCAGTGTTCTTGCTTCATCGTCGGCCTCTCTTCTTCCTCATCGCCGGTAATCACAAGATTTCTTCGATTCCTCTATCGATTCTTCGGTTCTAAAGGTTACCAACTTTATATTCTCATGTTTCATCGGTAGCATATCTCATTTTGTGGACTAGATATATGTGGTTTTTTATGGTGGATTTTTTTGTTTATAAGCCATTTAAGCTCAAAAATCACTTTAAAGTTTGCATATTTGGATGAAGGAAGGTTAAAGTAGTTATTCAAAACTAGTATTCAACTTTCATTTCTAGCATGCATAGCACACTTTATGGTTTAGATATAGAGAATTTTAGAGTTTTTTTAATTTTATTTGTTTATAAAATAAGAAATTTATATTATATTAAAAATGAGTATAGAGAGTAGATGGCAACTGCTTCCGGGTCCTCGACCTCTCATCGGGTTCCAAAGCGACTGAGACCGGACCTCCCTCTCATTGCATGCGGCAAGTGTGAGGAGAAGATTATGATGGAGTACCGGGTGAGGAAGGAGTGTCCCAACAAGGATCATATTTTATACAAGTGTTCGGATCGCAATGTGAGTTATTTTGCCGCATTTGATGATTATGATTAATTTATACTTATTTTCATGATGATTATGATTAAAGTTCTAATTTTTTGTTTTAATTTCAGTGGAATGGCACTGGATGTTCCAGATGGTACTAGGAGGAAGAGTATGTTGAACACGTGCAAAACTCTCTTACACAGGCGGCTACGGTGGCTGATGTGGCAGTGATCCTGCGGAAGAAGCCCATAGATGTTGAACAAACACATGATCTGTCTGTTTTAGTTGGGATTGGTCGCGAAATCCTTATGCTGCTGAAGTGCATTTTAGCTTTAGTTTTTTAGTGGTAGTTGGGATTGTCTACATTGTAGCTAGACTTTCATAAATTAATACCTTGTGTGGTGGCATGCATGTCGTATAATTAACTAATTATGTTCTAGGTTTTAATATGGTATATATGTCATGTAATGCAGATGAGCCGGCATTAGATATACAATGCTGATCGCCGCTCCCAAGAGTTCATTGAGGGCGTGCATTCTTTCTTACGTGTGGCCGAGGCAAACAAACGCGATGGTTTCATGTGCTGCCCATGTGCCATATGTAAGAATTTGAAGGAATATGCTACCTCAAGGAGTCTTCATTCACACTTGTTGAAGTCGGGTTTCATGCCAAACTATATTTGTTGGACGAAGCACAGAGAAACCGGGGTCGTAATGGAAGAAGGTGAAGAAGAACAATAGGACGATGATGACATTATTGCTGAATATGGTGCCTTCAATGATACAGCAATGGGGGAAGCTGAAGAAGAGGTAGGGGCAGAAGATGAGCCCGCTGATGATCTTGGTCAGGCCATTCGTGATGCACAAAGAGAATGAAAGTGAAAAGGAGAAGATCAAGCTAGAGGATCACAAGAAATTGCTATACCCAACTTGTGATGCGGGGCAGAAAAAGTTGGGTGCCACACTGGAATTGCTGCAATGGAAGGCAAAGAATGGTGTATCTGACAAGGGATTTGGGGAGTTACTGAAAATCCAAAAGAAGATGCTTCCGAAGGATAACGAATTGCCCGCCACTACATACGAAGCAAAACAGGTAGTCTACCCTTTGGGATTAGAAATCCAGAAGATACATGCATGTCCTAATGACTACATCCTCTACCATGGCGAGGAGTATGAGAAGTTAGATGCATGCCCGGTATGTCAAGCATCGTGGTATAAGATCAGGCGAGATGACCCTGGTGATGTTGAGGGCGAACGTCCCACGAAGAAAATCCCTGCCAAGATTATGTGGTATGCTCCTATAATACCACGCTTGAAACGTCTGTTCAGAAACAAAGACCATGCAAAGTTGTTGCGATGGCACAAAGAAGACCGTAAGATAGACAATATGTTGAGACACCCTGCTGATGGGTCCCAGTGGAGAGCAATCGATAGAGATTTCCTGGAGTTTGCAAATGACGCAAGAAACTTAAGGTTTGCTTTAAGTACGGATGGTATGAATCCTTTCGGGGAGCAGAGCAGTAGTCATAGCACTTGGCCTGTTACTCTATATATCTACAACCTTCCTCCCTGGTTATGCATGAAGCGTAAGTTTATTATGATGCCAGTGCTCATCCAAGGCTCAAGGCAACCTGGCAACGACATCGATGTGTACCTGAGGCCACTAGTTGAAGAACTTCTACTTTTGTGGAACAGACCAGGTGTACGTGTGTGGGATGAGCACAAACAGGAGCACTTTGACCTGCGAGCATTGTTGTTCGTAACAATCAATGATTGGCCTGCTCTAAGTAATCTTTCAGGACAATCAAACAAGGGATATAATGCATGCACGCACTGTTTCGATGACATTAAAGGTATATTCTTGAAAAAATATTGAAAGATTGTGTACCTTGGCCATCGTCGATTTCTTCCTACGAATCACCCCCTAAGAAAGAAAGACAAGCATTTTAAAGGTAAGGCAGACCACTAGACCAAGCCGGGCAACCAAACTAGTGAGGATGTACTCAATATGGTCAAGGATGTGAAAGTAGTATTTGGAAAGGCACATGGCAGCGAACCTGTTCCGAACGACGCCGATGGTCATGCACCCATGTGGAAGAAGTCCATATTTTTG